AGATGAATTAGCGTCTACATTCTAGCAGGTGACTAAAGAAAAACGTGTTGGAAAGGCGTCTATGGCAGGGTTGTCTGGAAGAGGCGGGACCTGAAATGGTTTGCTCTCACCTGCTGGACTTCAAGGGCTTCCAGACTGGCTCACCACCCCCAGCCATCGCTTTACGACGGATCCTGGGTAGATGTCTGACGCGGGGCTGCTCTCTGACCCCTCCTTTTGCTTGTGTGAACCCCTCACCAGTGACGGATTAGTGACGTCTCCCCCTCCACCACCCCCCCATTGTGCCTTGCATGTAGGTGCTACAAACGTTCATTAAATAGAGCAGTGCATTGGCCTTCGTTTCTCAGAAAATCTGATGTCTACATTTCTAGGAATTTCTAACTAAGGCCATTTTTGTTTGTGTCTAATTCTCTGAGGTTCTGATTCTGGGTCAATCTAGTATATCATTGCCAAGTACATAGGATTGTCAGAGTGGGGTGGAAGAATCCATATTTATTCACCAGCATGTTCCTCACTTACAGTAAGAATGCCTTAAACAGCCTCTTTGTCATTAAAACATTTTGGTACTGCTCCATCCATACAACTCCATTCTTCAGTCAACATTAATTATGTTCCTATCAATTTCGCTACTTTATGGGGAGGATTGTTTTCATTGAAGTAAATAAAAGTCCATTTGTCAAGTCAGAAAAGATTATGAATTTTGTGAGGATCTGTGTATACAAGTAAGTGCTGTCTAAATAGCCTGAAAATGCTGATAGAGGGATGGAGACAGCACTTGGTTTGCCAAAACCTCTACATATTGGAATGCCAATTGTTTAATAAGACTATCTTCAAAAAGTGTCCTGTAACTGATTCTTGATCTTCTTATCTTGTAATGATGTCTCAAATCACATGTGTGGTTCCATCTCAATTAGTCACAATGAGAACTTCATCCACTTTGTAAACTCAATTTATCTACTTTTCTCTAAGTGTGCCGTTAATCTCTTTTGTTTTTCCTCATATGCCAAAACTGGGTATGAAGAATTCAATTGACGAAATTTTGTTTCATTCAGCTTCATATATGCATATCTATTTTGTACATTACATTTCAAATGGCGTTGCTATTACAGAAATGTTTCAGGATGATTCCTGGGAACTTTTTGTTGACAAATCACTTTCATTTCTGCTCCTACTCACTTGGTTTCTGGCCTCAGCAATCCCTCAGTATTTACATCAGTCTAAGACCTTGGAATCTGAACATAGCAAGAGTTCCTGGTCGCCTTTCCTAAGTAGTGGCTGAACACTATGAGATGTCCGTACCTGTTTAAGGATTTTGTTTATTAGAAATTAAGTCATCATCCAAAGGATAAATCCTCTGCACTTTTCTTTTTGACCTTGAATAGCTTAAAAAGCACCCTCCAGGTGGAGCTATATTTTAGAAACGTTCACAAGTTACCTCCTAAGTGGTAAAAAATCACTTTTTGTATAGAAAAATGGCAATACCCAATCATAGGAACTGACAATACAAGCAATTGTCATAGATTCTAAAACTCTTCACTGAAAGTGACTTGGTGACCAAAGGATGAAAATAATGGAATATATAAGGTCATAATGTACAAACAGCATAGGCTTTCAAGTCGCCCAGACCTGGGTTTTACTTTGGTTCTAACACTAATTGTGTGACTTTGTGACAATTTCTTATTTTCTTTCAATCTATTTTTTAATGTGAAAAAGAAACAGTAATGTCAACTTACAGAGTTCATAAAAGAATTAGGGGCCACTCAGAATGGTTAAAAAGTTCAAACTCATTGTAGAAAAGTCAAGTTAGAGAAGGATTAAATGGAAATACTGTTGTCTTTAACGAAGTGAATTAACTTTTATTGAAATCTTTGAATTTTTTAAATTAATCTTCAAAACCACCACTTAAAGTTGATGTCGTTTTCACTAAGTTTACGGAAGGGAGAACTTAGGTAGGTGCCAAGCCCTGTGAGCTTCCCACACTGCTCTACCGCTTCCCCAAAGTGCCAGTGAATGATGCACACAGCTGACAACACGCTCTCAGACACTAGACAGTGATCCTCACAATCACCCTCTGAGGTTTGGTAACAATCACTTTCACCAGGTAAGAAACAGAGGCCAAGCAAAGCTAGGTACATTGTCTACGGTCAGATTCTGTGAAGACAGTCCTAAGAATCCAGACGCCCAAGAGAACAGTCCTCCGCTCATAGCCAGGCAGCGCCTGAAACCCAGGCCTGTATGTCTCCAAAGGTCAGAAGTGCAGCCCCGCAGCTGATCTACAGCTTGACAGGCCCGTGGGAACATCAGCGAATCGGAATCTGAGAACTGGAGGGCGACGGTAAAGACAGGGAGCCCCAGAACATGCATCTTTCATAGGCTCCCCAGTTATGTGAATGCAGTGCAAGATTTGAGAATCAACTAAGAAAAATGGATCGAAAAAACGTCACATTCTGCACTTTAAATCAATCCACTCCAAGCCCCTTAAACATGTTTTTAGAACCAAAGGTGAGAAATTTTAAAAGTTAATATTTGTCCTTAAACTCCTCGACCCCGAGGATCTTTCTAGAGGCACTTCCTACCCTGAGTCCTAATCCTAATCCTAATCACATTAGTTAACACGGCGACCCCCACAGCCTCGCAGTCCTCCCACAGCCAGGACGCCGATCTTGGTCAGGGCGCGAGGGGCCAGGACCAACTCCACTCCGCCCCGACCACCCGAGGGTCGCTTTCCATGGCCCCTTTTCACACCCCACGCTGGGTGTGAAAAGTCGGTTCCAGGGGCCGACTCACGAGCCTGGAAAAAGGCAAGGACGTTGGGAGGGCGACACAGACCCGCAGTCCGAAGCAGCCTGTTGGTGGGAACAACGACCTCCGCTGGTACCTGGATAGACTGGATACGTGTTACCCGTGGGTCGTTGTTCCCACCAACACGCTACTTCGGTTTGCTCTGGGGTTCGACGTCGTTTCCCAAATCCGGCCGCTCTAGGGCCCCTCGTCTCGATTCCCACCGCCGCCAGCTCTAGGATTCCGCCTCTATTCCCATGTCCGTCCGCTTTAGGGTTCCGCACGTCCTCTCTCAAAATCGGCACTTGAGGGTTCGCCTCTCATTTTACCGTTTCACCTCTCCCCCCCAGCCCCCCACCCCGCCACTCTAGAATGCCTCCTCTCGTTTAAGAGCCCTCGCCGTCCGCTCTAGGACTTACCGTCTCTACTCCCATGTCCGTCCGCTCCAGGGTTCCGCATGTCCTTTCTGAAAACCGGCCGCGGGAGGGTTCCGCCTCTTATCCCCCCCCTCCCCAATCTAGGACGCCGCATCTCGTTGGCCATTCCTTGTCGTCTGCTCTAGGACTCCGCGTCTCGATTCCCAGTCGGCCCGCTTTAGGGTTCCGCCTCTCATTTTTCCGCCCTCCGCCTCCCCCTCTCCCCCCGCCACTCTAGGTTTCCGCGTCTCTATTCCCATGTCCCTCCGCTTTAGGGTTCCACGCGTCCTTTGACAAACCCGGCCGCTCGAGGGTTCCGCCTCTCGTTTCACCCCAGCACGAGTCACTCTAGGACCCGCATCTCGTCCCCTTTCCCCTCCCGCCACCACCACGGTGGTTCAAGGATGCCTCGTTTCCCCCCCTGCCGGTCCCTTAGGACTAGTGTCCCGTCGCTTTAGGGTTACGCGTCTGGTCCACACACCCCCCCCCCTCCTCCTACTGCGGGGCGCTTTAGGGTGCTGCGTCTCGTTTTCCTCACCTTGGAATTAACCCCCATTTCCTGGGCATCCAGTTCAAGTGAATCACACAATCAGAATTTCATGTGTGGGGCCCCCCCATACACATTTTAAACTGAAAACCCAGATGAACCAGGCCGTTACCTATAGAAAATGCTTATTATAAAAATACCTGTGGTTTGTTTTTTTTCTCAACCTCAGGCAAGGCCAAAATTAATAAAGATGAAATTCCATCCAGTCCCTCCTTAGTCTCATCTCACTTCTCTGAGGTAGCCACTGTCACCGTTAGCTTCGAGTTTGTATGTGTAATTCTGATTTCTCTAGAGACGTGGGGTTTGGGGGTGGGGGGATAGGCATTAAGCTGTTTTTTATTTACCTTTTCATCACTCCTTTTAACATTTTCACTTCATATCTTAGGCATCTTTATCGGTCATGTAGGTCCATTTCATTTAGTGGCATCAAGCACAATTTGTTTCTCCGGGCCCCTACATATTGGTAGGCTTATTTCTTTCTCTTTGTTCCTTCTCCTGCGCCCCCCACCCCTCCTTTCCATTCTTTTGTTTAATGCCAGCCAGAATGGTGATATCACATCGATTAAACTATGTTTTGTTTTAACACAACCTCATTTATCACAGCAATAAGAAAGTATCTTACATGTGACCGGAGGTTCAGTGATGCATTTTACCTTCAAAACTACAGCTCTGTAAATTTGTTTGCTCAACCTGGCCATCTGAAAGCATTAAGTAAATTGAAGCTTCATCCTTTATTTCGACTTCTTACAAATACCCAGTGTATAATCATTAAGAGCAGCAACATGAAGAAAATTTGCTCAAAATCCTGATCACTTTCTCAAATGTACCTCTCTTGGAAAATCTTTAGTACAAACTTTTCTAACAAGCTATTGGGTTGTCGGGAAAGTCATGAAGCATTTTTGCAAGAAAAAAACATAGAAAAAATACGTCATGAATTTTCCAACAACCCAATATATAAGGGGGTAAATGCTCACGTCCTCTTGGACTTGAATAAACTGTTTAAACGTTACGTCTTCCATTTTGGATGCCCATCTGAGACAAGTAAAGTTTTCGTATTTGTATGAAACCCCCAAATGTCACACTGACAGTTGATAAGGCTCTCTAACTGTTTTTATGTGTG